TATATATCGTATTGGGGCTTGGATGATGTCTGGTGACGTTGGCTGGGCTTTCTGTTTCTTTACACTGCACATGCCTGTTACCAGGGGAAACATTGGGCTCGGTCGTGGTTTGACACAAACACCTGGCAGATTCTGGTGTGGTTCGGTCAGTTTTCTCTTGTGCTCTGACAGAAAATTGCACCCAGAGCCACATTCTAGTCATAGAGACAATTCCAGGCTGCAGGCTCATCACTCCCCATTACATCAACATCATCAGTTCTGTGGAAGTGATGAAGTCGCTTCATAAAGAACTGTCAACACGCCAAGGTCGTTAAAGGAGATTCTCATTTAATGGGACTTTTACAGTCATAATTATTAAGAATTTTAACACATATTTCATAATGTTATTCTTTATGTAACTACAGGTGTGCACCTCAGCACTTCAGTTTTTTTAAGAAACAGAAGAGTGAACGGGGCAGCGACGTGCTCAGAGTTGGAATATTTCAGCACCATGGAGAGAGACAATGATTTTCCATCAACACTGTGTTTGTGTGTTTGTTCCAGGACTTCCTCCTTCAGATCTTCACAGTCTTCAGGATCCTAATCCGACCAGAAATGTTCTCCAAAGACTGGACTGTCATGCGGTTGGTCACCAACAAGTAAGATCACACACACACACACACACACTTACACACAGAAGAGAGAAGATACAAAACAGTAAACAAATAAAATAAAAAGGAATTATATGGTTTGCATTTTAGATTGGACTAGACTTCTCACTAAGTCGAGATGTCTAGACTGCTGCAAGGTGTATATAACATGTTGCACCACAATGAAACACATACAGGTTCATGAAAATGCTCTTTTTTATTTTCAGTTTAAAAGAGTCTATGGATACAAATATTATAACATTATGTGTCCTTAGTCAAACAAATTTTCTTTAAATGCAGAAAAATGAAAGTTAACGTCATGAGCTTGTTGCAAAAGAAAGAGACGCTCTGCTGTTTTTATCTTTGTGGGTTTTTCTATTTGACCTTCATCATGATGGACTGCCGGTGGCACCATTACTCTTAAAAAGTGCTACTTGATAAACATGTAAACTGTTCATGGTGATGCATTTTCCTCCAAGGTGATCCTCCTCACCTCCTGCTCTCTTCTTCTTTCAGTGTCATCATCACAACGGTCCTGTACCTCTCCGACGCTCTGAGGAAAAACTTCCTCAATGACAAGTTTGACTACAAGGTTGGTGGAGAGATGTGTCGTGTGTCTGGAGATCTGAGCGCTGCCGCCGCGCTTCAAAACTTTCAGAGCATCAGACATCACTGCAACTGCACACACGCAGGCCGATGCACATTTTCATTTATTTTTGTACGTAACTCTTTTCCAAAGCAAAAGCCTGCACGGAGATGCAGACATAACACAGATACAAACCATGAGTCAAGAACTGAGGGCAGACGATCAAACAAGCTGGAAACCAGAAAACAAAAATAGGCAGAGCCAGAAGTGACATAAGAACGAAAGAAAAGAAGAAATAGCAAAAAAAACACAAATGCTATAGATTCACATGTCCAATTTGTAGTTTCAACATGGACACAAAATTAAAGCATAATAATATAAACTGATAAAACTGATATTTTTTTTCTACCTGAATTCGTTAACATTTAATTTGTCGGAAATTGACAATTGACAAGATGATTTATTGATTTTTGCCCCTTTCAGGTGTGGGACTCGTATTTCTATCTGTCTGTAATATTCATCAACCAACCCTGTCTTCAACTGGAGTCCTTCTCTCCCTCCAAGAGGAAGAAGATACTAGAAAAGTAAGTTGTTTGCAAATGTATGCATCTCCTGTACACACAATATTCTTTGCTGGTATGTTAAGTAGGTCTGTATAATGAGCCCTGTGTCAACAAGCAATACTGTCCTGCTCTCTGCCAGACCCCACACACACACACACACACA